AGCTGCTAAGCATGGTAGTTATGTTGTTGCCTGGCAACTTTGGCCTGTAAATACTGCACCCATCAACTGTGTGTTTATCACCCTTATCTGCGACTGTTGCTGACGATGCGATCAAGTTAGGATACGAGAAGGTGAGCTATCGCATCTCTTTTTTGCATGTCAGGGAAGTTCCTACTTCCTTAATTGTAGCGCTTACCCGAACCTTGACTTAGGCCTCCTGTGGAATCTAGGGCAGGGCCACCTATTGTACGTGCCAACTTTCGAACGCATTCTTCTGGATTCTAGAAACATTAGAATTATTGATAACCTATTTTTGTTTGCTTATTCGTTGCTTGTGATTCATTAAAAAGGTTAAGGCTCTCGGTCAAAGCCTCGCAGATCAAGTGGCTAGAACGTTAATCATACAAAGGTTATGTCCTCCGTCTCCGACTCGAATTTCTCCAATGAAGCCGAATTCTCACACAAATAACTCAAATAAACTACTTATATCTGATTAAAGCGGCTATTGAACTGGCCTCAATCTTTTTCTGAAAACGATCGTTTTGTTGCTCTATCCCAACGAGTGTTGTGAAAGAGAAGGAAGGCGGCTTCTGGGAATAAACACTTTATTCTAATTTGGTGGAAAGCGGCAGATTCCTTAGTTCATCAACTCTCACCTGTTCATTGGAATTCTGGCCGTTCTCAAACCTTCCGGCCAATGGTGTGCTAATCACAGTGGGTATCCTGGGTTATACTGGCCAATGGCGTGTCGCGTGTTGATTAGTCATTTCTCACGTTGGAAGCCCCTTGCGAAATCCCGAATATTTGGGTCGATACGGCGGCGCACGCTGATTGGCTGGCTGGTTCACGCGTGTACTGCCACACATAAGCAGACGTAAGTCCTTATGCCGCGTTAGTCAATGTGCTAAGTTCCATCACCGACTGGTTCCCAGGCTGGAAGATAGAGTAAGATCGACAGTGGAGACAGTGACAAATCGAAGCAATCCCAACCCTAATAAATCTGAAGCGCTTAAGCCTATCATGATACTATAAGTGTCTGGGCTTGGAAGGGTTTTAACCGACAGAATAATTCGATCCTCCTCAGGTCTGGGAGTCAGGCTGCAATGATCCCTTTTCACTGTGGCCCTTATATCATTTTTGCTAATTTTATATCCGAGTCGTCTTTATGAAAGCCTGGTATATGATGCTGGACCACGTCATGCGTGGAATGCGTAGTTAAACTGTTTATCGATGGTCGACGGACGCTCACCGATCGCGCTACGAAATCAGTTGCTTCATTATGCGTTGGGGCGTAATATGGGCGGAATAGCATTATCAAAAAGGACAAGGGAGACTGAAATGGCCATTTCTGGCCTATTAGCCGTCGTCGGCCAGCCATATCCATCCCCGATGTGTGGAGCACCTGGGGTTCGCAACCGACTGGACAACTAGTCCGTGGCTCAGTAGGTAGGGGCGTTGGACTTCTAGCTGACCGGTCGCGGGATCGAGCCTCAGGTGCTGCACACTTCGGGATTGGGTGTGGTTGACTGACGACGGCCAATAAACCAGAAATTGTCACTCCAGCCTCCCATGTCTTTGTCTATAGTGTTGTTGTGGGACCGTTTAACTTTGCAAACCACTACGTTCGAGCCCGCCTCCGGTGGTCTTCCACTGTCAGGCTACCGAAGCAAGGGGTGAGGAAGAAAAGAGTGCGGTAGATGTAGCGCACTGCGCCTTCTCCTTGCGACACGCGGTGGACGTTGGCGCCTGAGTCCAAGTCAGTTATTCCGAATGGAACACTGTAGGCCAGCTCAACCACGTGACACGGTTGTCAGAGGGCCTTTTGGCATGGCGCCAAAGTTTAGTCTGTTAGCAAAAAAACCGGAACAGCAGAATCGTAAAAGTTTTCTAGGAAACAGAAAATAAATCCCAAAGGAAGACCGTCGTGAGAATTTTTCAGTGGAAGTAGCCTCTACAGAGAGACGGTGGATTTTATACGAATGGAGGCAGGACTCCCCGAAGAGGTATGCGCGCAAAAAAGGACATATAAGTCATCGATAGACAGTCGGCACAGGTAAGGGACAACTTCCACCAGCGTCATTCTATAACGCCAGCAACTGAAAGGCAGCAAGTTCTGGCCCGGATTCAAGAGAATAGAGACTCAGAAAAACTAAGTTTCCCGACGTGTGCAAGGCCATAAATCGTGCAAAGAGAGTTATTTTCTACCGAGGATAGATATGGATGTCAAAAAGGTAGGGATAGCAGTTTTTGATTCGCAAAAGACAAAAGGCACGAATATTGTTGTAACGAACAGAGATGCTGCTAGCGAAACCAGAAGTCTACCACGCAAGCACCTCGTAACTACTCTTAGAGAAGCCAACATCGTACTCATTGGCACGCAGAAGAGAACAGTGTACTGACAGTTCCTTTGTTACAAACGACGAACCAAACAGGCAGTTACACTGCATCTTACTCTCGCTCTCTCTCCCTCTCTCTCCTCCAACTTAACCCACCGTATTCCGATGTCATGACGATGTCGAAATGACTGGAATTAGGCGACCCATCTGAATGACCCGCTTGCGCGTGCCACGAATGAACTGATCCCTATTCCACTTGTACCAGGACTGTATTGGGGGGAAGGGGTTTCGTGTCGTAAATGAATGATTACGCCATGAAGACTGCATTTGAAAGGAAATACTGCAATCTGTCGCTCACTCCTGAATAGAAACGAGTTAAATAAAAAAAAACTGAGCGCTGGAAGACTTTGCATATTGTTCTGAGCTTTCCGTCTCGTACAGGAGTCCATCGTCAGAGGTAGTAGAAGGAACAGAACAAGCGGCAGTTATAAGGCATGTAGGTTAATCATCGACCGACGACGCAAGACTGGAGGTGACAATGAAGGGCTCTGTACGCCGGCGTCAGATCGAACATACAGGCCAGATCGGTGCATACACGAACACAAGCTGGCTGTGCGACGAGGCGACGCATTATCACTACTGGCCGCCCCCACCTAGGAAATGGGTCAACAGTTTGACATCGCAGCCACCAAAATAGTCGCCCACGCCGGAAACAAAACAGGCCGAGTATTGCTTGAGGCCTGGGCTTTGGATGAGAACTCGGTCAATCGATTTATCGATCTGGCGCCGGCGTACAGAGCCCATCATAGCCACTTCCAGTCTTGCGCCGTCGGTCGATGATTAGCCTACATGGCTTATAACTGTCGCTTGACCTGTTGCTGCTACTATCCCTGTCGATGAACTTCTGCACGAGTCTAAAAGCTCAGGACAATAAACAAAGTGTTTCGGCGCTCGACTCATCTTCACTTACGCATACACCTGGAACTCTACATTTCGCCTTCATTCGAGAAACGAGTTGCCCCGTCGGCTAACAAATATGCTAGCTGTAACTTGTAGCGGATCTTGACAAATACAACTGCCTCAGATGCAGATTTACCGCGAGAATGGACTCCTTGCCAGCATCGGATTCGCGTCCCTACTTTTCCATTTTAAACGCATCAGTTGACGTCCCGAGTCTGAAAACCATCCGGTGGTGAGATTGAGCTTGTGGAATGCCGTAATACGAAGGCCTCAGTCTGTGCTGCTTCATCATTTTGCACGCCTCTAGTGTAGGTAATATGTGCACTTTCTTACCTACCGCTGGAAAACTGTATCACATGGTTGTTGCGTGTGAGATGTGTGATGTGTGGAATGCTCATGGGTATACGCTGTTCGATCAAATAGACGCAGGCGTGGTCTAGGCGTGTTTTTTAATGTGCGTGTGTGTACGTGTGTGGGTTTTAAGGGTCTTGAAGTTCAATCTAAGGCCACCGTAGACTCGCATAGTGACCAGTAATAACATAGGACGGAATACAGAGGAAGACAGGGAAACTGGTATGGCTGTCGCCAGTCGCTCATGCCCTAACCGACCTCATTTCTCGGAGGACCTCAGTGGACTTCTACCCAGGTTACCGGCGATTATTTCGTCGGCACTGCAGCGTCCGCATTCTTCCTGTTCGTTGTCAACTTGAAGGAAACGGCAATGATGGGGGTTGGTTATCCGGACTGCCCAGAGCCTGCGCATCCAATAGCAGATGACGAAAGACCATTGACACGCATTAGCGCAGGCTTCAGACAACCACAGAATCACTTGTTTGACACGCTTGAATAGTTAATTGATTTGTACATAACTCAGAAGTCTGATGAGGAGGTGTGGTGCCAGTCTCGAAAATTTACGCAATAAAGGTTATTTCGTTCTCAAAGAATCTTGCCTATTTCCAATATACAGTAGGTGGGCGAACTCATGAACTGTCAACCGATATTCTGAAACGCGTTTTTGTTTCGAAAAGATTAATTAAGTAGGGTTGTGAAATTAATCATATTGCAGCGTAATTCCATAATAATTCAGTTACCTCAGGATGCCGGCTTTCGAACGAACGTCTTCCCGGCTGCATGCAAAACCACACACCGTAAAGTGATGCGTAAGGGAGACAAAAGAGAGGGCAGTCGACTCTGGGAACTCTGTTCTCACGACTCCCAGTGCACACTCCCCACTATAAACAATCTGACGCGTCTTTAACATATCATGGTGGGCTAGAAGCCGTGGGATGATGATAGACGTGATAACTCAGTCCTCCTACCCAAGTGGAGAGTTAGACTGCAATGGCTTCTTCCAAATGTGGTCTCAATGGCGATTCCACCCGAAACGGGATCCAATCCGCCTCCTTCTTGCTTCTATAGAAGCCTAAATCATCGTGCGCGGACCAGGCCGTGTGTGGCACTCGTAGACGGGCTGTTTAGTCTTATCGGCCAATGCGCCTGACACTGTCTTCGGTCTTCTTGACTCCGCTCAGGTGAGCAAGGGGAGAGTACGGCAAGTGCATCCAAAGTCCGTTGTCATTATAAGCTAATTCATGCCCAAGTCGCATGGTGGAATCGTCGTTCGCTACGATCGGGCTGACGACATGTGCGTCGGAGATAGCTTGTGCCTAATATTGTGAGTTGTACTACCCTAGGTGTGTGTGTATGTGTGTCTCCGGTCTTCTTGACTCTGTCTTGACACCGGGCCCAGGCGGTGGAGGAGGAGAGAGTGTAGGTAGATGCTACGCAAGTCTACTGGCACTATAAACCCCTGCGTAAGTCACCGTCCCTGCTCCCACGGTGCAGTCTGTGGGGCACACGGTGGACATCGTCGAAATCGACGGTCGAACTGTCGTCGTGGGATGTAGGGGTGTCAGCGGTGGGTTCACGTCATGATCGTGGTGGTCACTCACTTGCCTGCAGGTGAGACTACGCCTAGCGTTCACTTGCTGGCACCCAACTCTCACCTGTGTGTCCACGTAGCTGGGCTCTGCTCAGCAGCCACACCCCGGGTAACCGTCTCGACCGGCGGGCTAAACCAGGTGAGGGGGCCCTGTGCGCTGTGCCGTGTGCACAGGGTTTGCGGATTCCGCTGGATGGAAGGTCGGATGGAACCTTGCGTCGGCACCGTAGTGACGTGGTTCGTCTCTGCACGCCGCTGGACAGCCGGTGACGGGATGGATCTCCACATCGCCTTCGCTGAGACGCGCCCACCTTCACCGATGGAGACCGCGGCTTACGGCGAATTCGAGTCGCTCTCCACTACAACCCGAAGTCGTGGCCCCATAGTGGAGTTCGGTCGAGCCAGACAGGCACATACGCAGCCCTATTCAGGGGTGGCACTGCCTGCCCCCACAAGATGAAGGGCCCAGAAAAGGTGGCCTAAACATTGCTGGGCACCACGCAGTCTTCAGGCTAGCCAGGGCCGCAGAGGTCTAAACATGGTCGAAACAATCAAAATCGAAACAACAACAATACCTATAACAACAACAACAATACTCGCTCACCTCCTCATCCTACCTCTTTTTACTCTCAGTCTGCCTATTCTTCTGCCTAGTCTTCTCCTTCGTCACCTTTTTGTCCACCTCCTTCCTGTCGCCCCACTCGTTGTCACCAGACTGGCAGGGTGAGTCCGCTCACTCTGGCAGTCTGGAATGTTCGTTCCCTTTTAGACAATCCGAGGAGCAACCGACCGGAACGAAGGACGGCGCTAGTGGCACGAGAACTGGCGCGCTACAAGGTGGACATCGCCGCACTAAGCGAGACCCGATTCTCCGAACAAGGCCAACTGGAGGAGGTGGGTGCCGGCTACACCTCCTTCGGAACTGGTTGGCCCAGTGCAGAGCGACGAGACGCGTTTGTCGCCTTCGCCATCCGGACTGACATCGTGGGACGGCTGCCCAGTCTGCCGCAGGACATCAACGACCACCTGATCAGCCTCCGTATGCCTATTCGGGGAGGCAAATCCGCCAACATCATCAGCGCCTACGCTCCGACGATGACCAACCCCGACGTCGCCGCAAGAGATAAATCCTACAAGGACCTGCACGCCCTCTTGGCGACTGTGTCGAAGGCGGACAAGTTGATTGTCCTTGGCGACTTCAACGCCCGCGTCGGCACAGACCATGCTGCCTGGAGAGGAGTGTTGGGTTCCCATGGTCTCCGCGGCTCAAACGACAATGGACTGATGCTTCTCCGCACCTGCGCAGAACACCGTCTCATCCTGACGAACACCTTCTTCTGTCTGCCGGAGCGAGAGAAGGCCACCTGGAGGCATCCTCGATCGAGTCAGTGGCACCTGCTGGACTATGTCCTCGTCCGGAGGCGAGATCAGCGGAACGTGCTGGTGACGAAGGCGATTGCGGGTGCTGACGGGTGGACCGACCATCGCCTCGTCATCTCGAAGATGCGTATTCGCCTACAGCCTCGCAGGAGACCGCAAGGTAAGCGACCCCCAGGTAAGCTGGATGTTGCCTTGTTGTCTTTGCCCGCTCACCATCTTCATTTCAGCAGTGAGCTAGCTCAAAGGCTAGACAACCTTCCTATCGCTGCCGACGCCGCCGCTGTCGAGAACGTCCCCGTGGAGAACCGCTGGTGTCAACTGCGAGACACGGTCCAGTCGACGGCGCTCGCCGTCCTCGGTCGCGCTCCCCGCCAACACGAGGACTGGTTCGACGACTGGACGACTTCGGTTACACGGGTGACCTGAGTCCGAGATTAGCCCGACAAGTCAAGCGTCGTGAATAGGAAGGTTGCTGATTGACGCCGGCACTCGGCTTGCTCAGTTCGTCGCGTTTTGTGTGTGTTGTGTGGAGTGGCGGACTGGTGGGTTGGGGACGAGCTGAAGCAGCACCTTCCACGGCCCTCTCACGCAAGTGGGAGACACGCTCTTCAATCCCAGTTGTATGAAATTCTGGTGTTTGTGTGTATGGGGGGGGGGGCAGGTCATGCCGTTGGCGCGTGAAGTCGTGGTCAGTCGACCATGACAGCCACCGCGCCCATTTCCCACTCCAGTTTGCTGACCGGCTCGGACAGAGGCTGGGGTGTGGGGATGGTAAGGGAGAACGAGGTCGACGACTCATAGCATTTTCCTCAATATAAACAATCTGACGCGCCTGAAGCTATCACGGTGTGCCAAAAGCCGTGGCTGGAAGGTAGCCAACTGACGGTGTAACTTGGACCTCCTCCGTGACTGGTGGTGGTCTGATAGTCAGGCTGCAATGGCTCCTTCTTAATGTGGCCTCTATGGCACTCCCACCACAGTGTGGGATCCGGGCCAGGCGTTGACTGCACGCCTAGGTGCGGCGTCGCCGTGCCAGCCTCCAAATCTCTGTTGTGTTCAGTTCAGTTCAGATTATTTTGAGGGAAATATAGGTGTTTATCCTTTGAACTCCCTATTTGTTACAAGGAAGCGAGCTATATCAAAAATTGGAAATGGAAAATTCAAGCAGCTACAGAGTGTCTTCAGATTGTCAAAGTTTTCGAACCAGACAGATAAACGAATTGTTCCAAGAGTTAAAAACATTAACGTTACTAAGTGTGCTGTACAGTAGTCTGTCTATGGATAGTTGGTACTACCTCGCTTTCTAAGGGAGACGAAGGTGCGAGCACACATTCAACAGACATAGGACGATAATAAAAAAACATTACTGAAATTCTGATCTTTTTGTGTGGACCAGGGGGTGCGGACTGGAGCGCCAAGGCGAGGATCTGTCCGAGCCATCCACCTGCGGCCTCCCCCGTCTCCGGCCTTCTTGACTTTGTCTTGACATCGGGCTCAGGCGGGGGAGGAGTAAAGAGTGTAGGTAGATGCTACGCAAGTCTACGGGCACTATAAACTCCTGCGCAAGTAACCATCCCTGCTCCCACCGTTGCAGCTGCAGCTGTTGGGCACACGGTCGAAATCGGCGGTTGAACTGTCGTCGTCGTCGTCGTCGTCATCGTCGCCGTGAGACGCGTGTAAAAGGTTCGCGTCAGAGCTCCAGGCACTGTTTCTTTGGTCGCGCGGTGGCGTGATCTGGGTGGGCGATCGGGCCAGTGCTGGCGGGGGCTGCGGTGGCGATGCTAGTGATGCTGGCCGTGGGCGTCTTTTGTGCCCTGGAGGGGCGAGCGACGCTTTTAATTATGTTGGTGGTGTTAGTGGAGGCAGCGGCGGCGACGGCGTCTGGGACGATGATGACAGTGCTGTTTCGTGAGGTTATGGGTGGGTTAGTCGTGCTCACATTACGCTGGGTCCGCAGATGTCCAATGAGACCAATCCATTTTCTGCATGTTCGCTGAAAATGTGGACATTCCTGCGTCGTTGGTCTGCGACACATGCAGGCCTCTCGCTTGGCCTCGGCTTCTGTCGCTTGGTCGACTTCAACTTTTTACGGCAGTGCGCCACGCCTGCCGATTATGTCTGAAGTCATCCGAGATCTCAAGATTAATTTGCACATGACGGAATAAGTTCTGCCAATAAAAGCAAAGAGACGAGTCCCAGGAATCAGTCTTGAAGAAGAAAAAGAAGAAGACACGATCGTCGGGACAAGAGCTTCATTAGCCTGGCGTTATCGATTCCTGCTCGATTCCATCATCAGAGACAAAAGCAGATACGGGTGGTTCATGCATATGCGGCTGCAGTATTTATAAGATGCAGTAGCCATGCTACCGCATACCTATGAATATTCACAACTCCCCCGCCCCTTCATCAGGGATCGTTGCATGTGGCGTGATGGCCGACATTCGCGTCGTTAATTGCTGCAAGTTCATCACGTGCGTTGGATGTTCGTGTAATGATTGCTCGACCATCTGACGCGCTGACCCAAGTGTTGGGAAGAGTGTTCACGTGTGCGCTCCTCGCGTGGCCAATTACTCCGCCTAGCTGAAGTCTAAGCACGGAGTATTGAATGGGAAGATCATTGCACTTGTTAACAGACTGGGGGCCAGTAAACCATGACTCAAGCGGCACACGGCTCACGCGGTTGTCACCTCTTGCGAGAATTTCGGCCTCGTCAAATTTGAATATGTGGCCGGAACCCGTCGAGTGAGCCGCAACTTGGGAGCTGGCGTCATTTCTCCGCACCGCTGCAGCGTGTTCGGCCATTCGCGTTCGGAGCTGTCTTCCAGTTTCTCAGACGTAGTTGCTTCGTCCGTAGCTGCACCAGATCCGATAAACGACTCCAGACGTTTCTTGCCGCGGCAGTGGGTCTTTCGGTTTCATTACCTGACGCCTGATGGTTGCCTCCGGTCTGTGTGCAACTCCAACCCCAATTGGTGCGAGAAGGCGGCCAACAGCTTCCGAAACGTTCTTGTTCGTAGATTTTCCCGTCGAACGTGGAGTACGTCCTGAGTCAGAACTTCAGGACCTGAAGGACTTGGACGCGCCAAAGACGATTCTCCGTTTCATCACATTTGCTTTGTAGAAGCAGCTCGATTGTCTCGATCCTCAGGTCCTGGGAAAGAGAAGTAAAAAGATATGTAACATCAAAAGATACCATTTGGATGGAGGCTTACCCCTTTGAGTTTCTCCAAGAATCCTGCTGACGAAGAGACCGTGGTGTCTGACTCAGAGTTCAGGAACTTTAGACGCCGCAACCGCTGAGTCAGACACCAGACAAACAAGCTGACCTTTCTGGATGTCCTCGTATGCCGTAAACATTGTTGTGGCCTAAAGACCAAAGTGTTCTGAAAAGTGACGAAGAGGACGCAAATACTGAACTTCAACAGTAACCACCCAATCAGCCACAAACGCAGTTGCGTAAGAACGCTATATCTGCGTGTTGAGACGCACTGCAGTGAACCGGATGACAAGGTTGCCGAATCCCGATATCTTCGACGGGTTTTCGGAGAAAATGGTTACCCGCGCAACTTCGTCAACCGGTGCATGCGCAAACGAGACGAGCGAAAAAATTCGTGCCGAACCCAAATTCTGGCGAGCGATCCCGTACATCAAAAACGTCTCCGAGGCCGTTAGCCGCTTTCTTGCACCACTTGGGGGTTGGAGTTGCACACAGACCGGAGGCCACCATGAGGCGTCAGGTGATGAGACCAAAAGACCCACTGCCACGACAAGAAACATCTGGAGTCGTTTACCGGATCTGGTGCAGTTGCGGACAAAGCAACTACGTCGGAGAAACTGGAAGACTGCTCCGAACGCGAATTGCCGAACACGCGACAGCGGTACAGAGAAATGACGCCAGCCCTCATGCTGTGAATATTCATAGGTATGCGGTAGCATGGCTACTGCATCTTATAAATACTGCAGCCGCATATGCATGAACCACCCTTATCTGCCTTTGTCTCTGATGATAGATTCGAGCTGGAATCGGAAACGTCAAGCTAATTAAGCTCTTGTCCCGACGATCGCGTTTTCTTCTTCAGGAATGAGCTCTGCAGAATGACTTCGTCTCGTTGTTTCTGTCGCTGTAGAATTGCCGTTTGAGCAGTTCTTTCTCAGCCATCCTCAAGCAGTAAACGTTCCACCGCACACACCGGCACGCAAATGCATCTCCAATATCCTCCCGAGGCACCTGGTTTAATGGGAATTAGCCTTCTTATCGGCATTTCTGTATATCCTCCGACCTCTAGATCAGCGTTATCAGGGAAGATTCTGCGGCGCTCCCAGATGAATAATTGCTAACTGCCGAAGGCTCGGTTGGCTCAGGAGACCCAATTGACCATTTATTAAGATGCGGTTTGGTAGCCCCACCTGATGTACACAATAATGTTGGGGTTGGATTTAAGGGTTAGGGTTAGGAGTAAGGGTTATGGCTAGTGGTTAGGTTTAGGGGTTAGCTAACCATTTCTCAAACACTCAAAGTACAACCGCGAATTTCCGATAGCTTTTCTTTTGCATACAACTACTTGAGCTCGTCGCCTGTGCTTTCCCGGCTCCACCTGTTAAACCGCCTATTACCACCGGTCACGTATAAGAGGTGACTGGGATTTGTTTATTTCATCCGACCGACAATTTTACCGAAAATAGCCATGTTTCTTGAAGTGATGTAGTTCATGTACGCCAATATGACCACAGATGTGAGTCCAGTGATACCCGGTGATACTTGATCCTTGTCTTCCCTATCCCACTAATTATGTCGTAGTCTGAACGAGTTGAAACATGGAGGTCCACCTTCAGCCAAATGTCCGCTTCGACTGTGGTATCAGACACGCAGTCATTCACAAATATGAGATCGTGAACATTGGCCATGGTTTCTGGCAGCATATGTAGGCTGGTTTATAGTAGGTAGGCATAGGTGCGGTAGTTGATGTCAATTGCAGGTCGCTCCTCATGGTAGGCGTAGAGTAGCATGGCGGATAAATTGAGACGGAAGTGGGTGAGAGCAGGCGATGAAATGGCCGTAACTTACGCCATCATTGCCTACGTGAACCGTTCCAGACGTCCGAATGTCAGCATAATTTTCAGGATTATAAAAGGTGTTATGGCAGATTTCAAATAATTCATTTTGACACAACTGGGGAAAACTCCGCGCCTCGGATGGATTCGAACCCATACCAGCAAGTGGAGGTGCTCTAGCCACCTTAGCTACGACGTCCCACCGGACGACGGGAGTTTAATCACATTTGGGTCAAGTTCACCCAAAGTTTAATCTACTGCAACGTCTGGAATCCACCAATTCTGATATAGTAAGCTGACTACCTAGGCAGGATGTCCTAAGTAATACATCTAGAATCCACCAGATGACTACTAGGCTCACGTAAATGATGGGT